AACAACAACAACAACATGGAGAAGCAAAAAAGAGAATGGACAAAAGAGTGTGGATAATTCAAATTATTACTTTCTTGGGGAAAAAATGACTCTGCATGGGCTTTGGAAATGGTAAGCTTATTGGTGCCATCTTTATGATGAAACTTCAACAAGCTTGTGGAAAACTGGAATTAAAAGATAAAAATTAAAAATATAACTGTATTTCTTAACATACGTTTAATCAAGATCAAGATATTTTTGTAAGTAATGATACCAGCCATTTAGTACATCCAAAAAGAACTGAAGGTACTGGGAATTTAACTATATCAATACAATCTCTTTTACATTATTAAAGAAAAACTGGTGCCCTTGAAAGATTTTTAAAGATTAGGAAATAAAAAGAAGTCATAAGGAACCATGTGTAATGATATCCCATCAAAATTCTTGCAAAATTCCCTTGTTGATTGGCTGCTCTGAAAAGCGATCTTTGCATTGTTCCCAAGTCCAGAAACCAGCTCCCTGCAGCCACCTCTGTCACAGACCCCAGCAGCTAGCTCACCAGAGCCCCTGAACTTGCACTCTCATTGTCATCCTTTAGATTGGATCACCATTGTGCCCCACTATGTCAGGTGCGACTGTGGATACCTGCTCCGAGATCACCACCAAGGACTTAAAGGAGAAGAAGGAAGCTGTGGAGGAAACAAAAAATGGAAGAGATGCACCCGCTAATGGGAACTCTAATGAGAACAAAGGGAATGAGTCTGACAATGAGGTAGACGAGGAAGAGGATCAAAGTGAGGAGGAGAAGGAGCAAAAGGAAGAGGAGGAAGGCAGTAGTGAGGAAGAAGATGGAGATGAAGTTGAGGAAGCCAAGGCAGCTATGGGGAATTGGGCAGCTGAAGACGATGAGGATGATGATGTTGACACCAAGAAGCAGAAGACCGACAGAAGAAAAGAAAGAGTTAAACTTAAAAAAGTCCGCTGTGACCTATTCACCCTCCATTTCCTGTCTCAGAATCTAAACGTGGTCATTTTCGAGTAGAGAGAGTCCCACCTGCCCACTCTAGGCAGCGCCACTCGCAGATAAGACAGGCTCACTATCACACAACCAAAATCACAATGTGAATTTGCAACAGGTGAGAAAAAAGAACCAAAACTTCCAAGGCCATGCTTTTTTTCTTAAAAGTATTTTAAAAGGAAAATTCATTTGTATTTTTATTTACGTTTTATATTTTTGTACATATTGCTAGGGCTCAGTCATTTTTAATGATCTGTATGACCAAATCAGGCTTTGGAGAATTTGAGAACTCTCCAAATTCTAAGTTTACTTGTGGTGTGATCATGTTCACTATAATCTCAAAGGAGAAAAAAGACCTTGTTAAAAAAAAAAAAAAAGTCAAAACAAAAACAAAAATTACAATCTTAATCTGAGCATTCATTCCAGTAAATTTTTTTGTGTATGTTCTTAGCTGTAGGTGAGTAGGTGGTTTGTATGAGGTGGTTAAAAAAAGGCCAAAAATAGAAGATTTATTTTCCTTTTTTTTTTTTTTTTTGACTTTGAAATTGCTTTTTATTTATTTAATTTACTTTTTGGCCTGCTTGAT